GGGGGGGGGGTCCTTTTCACTCACCTCATAGTCCTAGCCGACCTCTGACAATGAGACTGTCACAGGTCGGCTCAGTAGATCGGGAAGTATATAGTGAGCTACAGCTCGCGGTATACAGAGTGACGGTGACGGGAGGACGCTAGTTTGTCTCCTCCCGTTACCCTAAGGAGAACTATGGGGAAAAGCCTTAACCCCATAGTTCTCCGTTAAGTTATTACTAAAACCAGTGATAATTGAATGCAGAGGCAATTATGCTAAAGATTTGATACATTTATATAGTCTTGCAGAAACCTTTGAGGGCAATGTTGATGCGGCCCGCGATTAAATTGAGTTTGACACCCCTGATTTAACCTATTCATGTTAGCAGGTCAGAATTGTAAATCTATTGCTGCAGTGTATTCTATATGTACTATACATGTACTACATATAGAATACACTGCAACAATAGAGTTACATTTTCTGACCTGCTACTATGAATGGGTTAAATGATCCGTAGTACATAATAGTACATAATATGTAGTTGTACTATGGATCATTTAACCCATTCATAGTAGCAGGTCAGAAAATGTAACTCTATTGTTGCAGTGTATTCTATATGTAGTACATGTATAGTACATATAGAATACACTGCAGCAATAGATTCTTGTTGTTCACACAAAACACTAAACTTCCTACTTAAGCCCAGGCCCTCACTTATTACTGTTGCCTCGATCGCGGTGCCTCACGATGTGCCGAACGATTTTCCTCACACGTGAGGACGGCGGCGTCGCTGAGCTGAAGAGGAGCGTCACGTCGCGTCACTGCTGCTCCGGTGGGCGGTGCTCCGAGTGGGGTCCTCTGGGCAGTTGCCCACCTGGACACAGGGGTACTGGTGGAGGCCTAATGCTGGCAGGGAAGGAGCTGCTACTGGGTCTGGGTCTGGGGGGAATGAGCAGGGCAGGTAGGGAAGGGAGTTAACGCTCAAAGAGTGTAGGAAGAGGTTCATGCGGGGAAAGCACACAACCAGCAAGACAGGGGTTAACAATGAGATGGTGCAGCCAATGTGCACAGGGGGGGGGGTTAATACCGGCAGTGTACAGCCACAGCTGGCAGGGAAGGGAGGGTACAGGAAGGAGTTAATGGTGACAAAGGAAAGTAATGAAGGCGTTACTGCTTGGAGGGCACGGGCAGGCAAAGGGGGGTTAACCCCGGCAGGGAAGGGTGCTGGGGTACAGATTTGGCAAGGC